GATGGTAGACCGTACTAACATTTATGGTAGACCGTACGAACATTGATGGTAGACCGTACGAACGTTGATGGTAAATAGTATGAACATTGATAGTACACCGTCCGAACATTGAAGGTAAACCGTATGAACATTGATGGTAGACGGTACGAACATTGATGGTAAACGGTACGAACATTGATGGAAGACCGTACGAACATTGAAGGCAGACGGTACGAACATTGATGGTAGACTGGTAAACCGTACGAACATTCATGGTAGACCGTACGAACATTATGGAAACCGTACGAACATTTATGGTAAACCGTACTAACATTGATGGTAGACGGTACGAACATTGATGGTAGACCGTACGAACATTGATGGTAAACGGTACAAACATTGATGGTAGACCGTACTAACATTGATGGTAAACGTTCGAACATTGATGGTAAACCGTACGAACATTGATGGTAGACCGTACAAATATTGATGGTAGACCGTACGAACATTGGTGGTAAACCGTACAAACATTGATGGTAAACCGTACTAACATTGATGGTAGACCGTACGTACATTGGTGGTAAAACGTACACATTTTTGTTAACAATATTCAGTTGAAACGTATTTATCAATGAAATTGATTCAGTAGGATTGGACAACAAGAGATAGACAACATCAATGAACAAAGATGATAGGTAGGTCGGACATTGAGTGTAAATAGTACGATTATAGATGCAGCATTTATTGGGATAGAACGAGCATTGGATAGAAAATTATTAGGGTTTGAACAGAATAGATACAACATAACCAGTACAGGCGATACTTTGCTAGTGGCAGGCTTCGTTTCTATATGATTTCTATCTGGTCTAGGAGAGCTGACAATTACCCCTCTTCCCCATCGTAATATCTATTTATTAAAACAGGCCCAGAATCGTGTAACTGTTAAATTGTTAAATTTCGCGGGGTTAAAATTTCGCGATTTTGTTTTCGAAACTTATTCGCTAGGGTTTCATTTCGAGAATCACAATTTCTGTAAGTATATTTCGGACACCTTGCAAAGAGTTACGAGTGTTTGTATACAGCTAGCCATGAAGAACCTGACATCGCAACCAGACGCAAGTGTATACCTGTTCTGTTTACAGACTGGTCATAACCTGATTCGACAGTCATGCTCAGACATTCGGAAATCAAGTTTGTATCGAAAGCCAACAGACACAAACAGGTCATAGCATACAACCAATTACTGTCCATCAGATGGTCAACAACAGTGGTAAAGGGAGTTATGTTGTGCCGATAACCTCTGGCTGGGGTAAACTATTCAGAATGGTGCCAAAACACATTGTCGTCCATATATGATATATTCGAATCGTAGTAGTATACATGTACGATATGTTGAATCATACTGATGCCGATTAAAACAATCTGTGACAATATAAATATCAAATGCTTTCCCAGAAGTTTAATCATGTGCCCGTGAGACATTGCCCCGTAGCGAAATATACACTGATCCGCAGAAATAACATACAACAAATTCTTAGACCATCATACACTGCTCCTTAGAAAATAGCCTACTCCAATTATGTGTCCATGGATTACTGTTCCATAGAAATACCCTACTGCAAGCTCTGTGGGACCATAACACACTACCTCCAGGAAATACCCTAATACAAATTATGTGGACATGATACCCTTAAAGATACCCTACTACAAGTTATGTGGCCATAGGACACAGCCCCGTAGATATACCCTACTACTAGCCATGTGGCCATAGGACACAGCCACGTAGATATACCCTACTACTAGTCACGTGGCCATAGGACACAGCCCCGCAGATATACCCTACTACTAGTCACGTGGCCATAGGACACAGCCCCGCAGATATACCCTACTACTAGTCATGTGGCCATAGGACACAGCCCCGTAGATATACCCTACTACAGGTTATGTGGCCATAGGACACAGCCCCATAGAAATAACCTACTACAGGTTATGTGGTCAAAGGACATTACCCATTATAAATGCCCTATTACAAGTTATGTGACCACCAGACACAGCCCCAGGGAAATACCATACTACAGGTTATGTGGCCATGAGACACTGCCCCCTAGAAACACCATACTACAAGTTATGTTGCTATGAAACACTACCCCTAGGAAATACGATACTACACATTATGTGGCCATGAAACACTGTCCTTCAGAAATACCCTACTACAAGCTATGTGATCATGGAACACTGTCCCTCAGAAATACCCTACTTTAAGGTATGTAGCCATGACACACTGACCCCTAGAAATACCCTACTACAAGTTATGTGGCCATGAGACACTGCTTCATAGAAATACCCTACTACAAGTTATGTGGCCATGAGACACTGTCTCATAGAAATACTCTACTACAAGTTATGTGGCCATGATACACTGTCTCATAGAAATACCCTACTACAGGTTATGTGGCCATGAGACACTGTCTCATAGAAATACCTTACTACAAGTTATGTGGCCATGCGACACTGCTTCATAGAAATATACTACTACAAATTATGTGGACATGAGACACTTCCCCCAGGAAATACCCTACTACAAGTTATGTGGCCATGATACACTGTCTCATAGAAATACCCTACTACAAGTTATGTGGCCATGAGACACTGTCTCATAGAAATACCCTACTACAAGTTATGTGGCTATGAGACACTGTCTCATAGAAATACTCTACTACAAGTTATGTGGCCATGAGACACTGTCTCATAGAAATACCCTACTACAGGTTATGTGGCCATGAGACATTGTCTCATAGAAATACCCTACTACAAGTTATGTGGCCATGAGACACTGCTTCATAGAAATATACTACTACAAATTATGTGGACATGATACACTGCCCCCTAGAAATACCCTACTACAAGGTATGTGGCCATGACACACTACCCCTTATGAATATCCTTCTACAAGTTAGGTGACCATGAGACACTGCCCCCTAGAAATACCCTACTACAGGTTATGCGGACATGAGACAGTGCCCCCAGGAAATACCCTACTACAAATTATGTGGACAAGATACACTGGCTCTCAGAAATACCCTACTACAAAGTATGTGGCCATGAGACACTGCCCCTTAAAAATACCCAACTACAAGTGATGTGACCACGAGACACTACCCCAAGAAAATACCCTACTACAAGTTATGTGGACATGAGACACTGCCACTCAGGAATACTCTACTACAAATTCTGTGACTATGATACACTGCCCCCTAGAAATACCCTTCTACAAGTTATGTGGCCATGAAACACTGCCCCATAGCAAAACCCTACTCCTAGTTATGTCGTCATCAAATTCTGCACCTTAGAAATACCCCACTACAAATTATTTGGCCATGATACACCGCTCCATAGCAATACCCTACTACAAGTTATGTGGCCATGAAATACTGCCCCATAGCAAAACCCTACTCCTAGTTATGCGGTCATCAAACACTGCCCCTTAGAAATACCCCACTACAAATTATTTGGCTATGAGACACGTGCACTTTCCCTTAGAAATATTGTACCACAAGTTCTGAGACACTGCCCTTTAGGAATATCCTACTTCAAGTTCTGTGGCCACGAGACATCGCCCATTAGAAAAACCCTACTATTAGTTATGTGCCCCTCAAACATACCTTACTACAATTGTTTAGCCATGAGAACCTTGCCCGCTGAAATAACTTACTACTTTAATTTTGCCATGTAGTATCAACTCAATAGAAGCTAGGTATCCATGCGACACTTTCTCATAGAAATTGTCCAAACTTGCCTGTAATGAAACAATTAAAACAAACTTAGCATATGAAGAGTTGCCTATCGATAGAGATAGTCCACTCTTATAAAAATGACATTATAGGCTCTGAGGTAGTAAATCATTGTGATATATAAATAACACACTAAGACTCAGAAGCCATGCATAGAACACTGGCCCATAGAAATGACACCCATTGTCTCCGAGATCAGGATGTATTTTATCGTATTTATTTTACAACAATAATGAAACAATGTTATACCATATATAAATCTCTCTTCTTAGTCCGGATGTTATCGCACAGTGGTCTTTATGTGAGAGGAAACCGGGATACCCGGAGAAAACCATTATGACGGGACAAGAGAGACCTTTTCACACGCGATCGGGGAATCGAACCCCGGTCGTGTTGGTGTTTGAGAGTGCGTTATCTACTGCGTCACCTGACTACCCGACCGAAGTCACGAGACAAAGACACAGTACAGCTCCAATCCGTGTATACCTATAGAGGGGTTTATTACAAGTAGTAACGACTTGGTTTTTATATTTTCTCTCTACCTCCTAACAACTTTTATGTTTTCTAGCGCCTTCCTTGGCAATACCTCACTAGTGTTGACCGTTTACCAAATAGGGGAAGGCAATAGGTATTGTACCCAGGCTTGGACAGTTTAAGGTCCTTAAGACTGGTAGCTGTTATTACGTATAACCTCATAAATGATCAGCATTTCGAGTAATGACAACAACTGGGGTTTTACCCGTTGTCAGTATGATGTGACCGGGTCGATACTCGGTGTCTTCATCATGGTAACACTATGAAGTCGGCATTAGATCCACGCTATCGCAAGGGGGCAATACACCAACATACCGTCTCCAGAACAAGTACACACATGCAAACATACAGTACACGCCTGGAAGCACGTCATGAATATCATTGACTGTTAATCGGACATTTTACACTTTAAAACCAAACCAAGCATAGGACACCACACTTATTATCTGCATTAAACAAATCACTAGATATTTCCTTTGAAGTATCGATACCTAATGATCAACTAAAAATACAACGTTGATCATGTGAAGTGTTTTATGCCCAATAGCGTATTGCCTATTAGATCTGGCGTATATTCAATGACGATTTTAAGGATATCAAGACATTCATATGCTTGCTATTTAATCCAGCAATGTTCGACTTTTCTGATGTGCTGTTAAGACCACACAATGATTGATATCGAAGACACATACTCACCCTTTGAAAACCATCGATGAGGTTATTGATTCCTGCACATGCGTCCGGCACAAGCGCCATATAGACAAAACACAACGTAACCAGTTGCCGTAACTCCATGATGTCATCGGAATTATGTCGCCATGTTTGCGAAATGAGTTTGCCAGGATGGCATTAGCATGGGACAAGAAGTAATCCGTTAAAACAAAGACCACAGCATCCTTAAAAGAAAGAAAACAACATTTTCACACTGATTTTAGTTGCTGCCAGACGAGGAAATCCATCAAACCGACTAAAGATAGGATGCAACTCTCGTATGGTTCGTCGCATTTAAAACTACACTTGGAGCTGTTTAGGGTAGTAGTAAACTTATACGCAATGTTCAAGAGCGGAACAGAAATAGGAAGTTTGAAACTGGAGACCTCCTCTCACAGCACCGGAATACATGGCCATAGATGTTCTCACGTACTAGGCGCTGACAAACAGTTACTCGCCGGTCGCCGCCGGAAATTATGGGTTTCCCTTGTAAGTGTGAATACATACATCGCCACATTTGTCTGCCGATAGCACCTCTCCTCGGCGCGACTCTTAACAGCCTCTCTGAAACGTATATACTTAAACCAACAGTTTATTTCTCAATGCAAATTAAACTAATTTTGATTGCTGTATTTGTGTCTAGCTGTGGAAAATTGTTGGGGATTACGTGATGATCTCGCCCCGCGGGGTCCACCACGCCCTCCCCCGCCATTGTCGCTGTATTCCTAAACTAGCAGGTCTATAATCATCACGGTTTGGAGTGGCTAGCGTGCGGAGATAATTGACATTTTCTGGCAAACACTTAATTATCAAAGTCTCGTCTTTTTATCTGGGTAGATATATATATATGTGTGTGTGTTATTGATAAAGAAACGCTCGCTATTTTAGCCGACGTTTATTGGTAATGTATCACGTTGGCGGCGTTTTCTTCAATAAAATACTAAAGAAATTACGCCAAGCTGTGATACAGATTTAGACTGGGATGATAAGCCTTTCTAGATAGAAGGTTCCGAGATACAGCTCAGAAGTTACTCGTTTGATATCTCGAGGTAAGCTCCTCACTGCCATGAGAAGCGACGGACGGTCCGTTATAATAGAGTTCTATACTTCATACATGTGTATAGCACCGTCCTCTACAAAGGAACTATGCATTGCAGAGCCTGGTGATCGGGGACGGGCTGACGTGCAGTGCTGCAATATATTCCTGCGGCAGAGTTTGAAAGAATTGCAGAATATTGTTTTCTTAAGATTTCTCTGCTGATTGCTAGAGCAAAGTTTGGCAAACAGTTTTAATATTGTTAAACTTGTTTTCTTGGCATTCAAATGCAAACTTTATCTAACATTCGATTAAAAAAGCGTACCGTAAATTGAATCCAACGCAACACCATATTGCGCTCCACGAAAATAACGAGAGCTTATGTTATACAATGTATCTTTCTTTATAAAAGCGGACGCATTTGATATTGCCTCAATATTTCAAATCAAATGACGAATCTTTGGACCAGTTCCAATATGCAGGCTGAGTAGAATGATACTTTGAGTGATGCGTTGATAGGATATCGGATACACCAGTCTGCTCGGACATCTGTGTAAGTACAAAACACGCGGCCCGCCCGTAGAGCCTTGGTCAGACTACATGGTCAGATGTCGGCGCCGGATGTCTCTCACCGACCGGTCAGTTTGTCTGATTGCAAGTAAAGGCTGATTATTATTGAACTGTTGATTGATACAGCACTAGTCATTGGTAGCGCGCGTGCGATGTTTATGATGATGTTTCCTCGGCACACACGTGCACCTTATCACGTGTTTCGAGGTTGCAACTTCACAGCCAAGCTCACAAAGAGACAGACCGTTACTTTAACTACCAGTGGTGACCACGTCTATAGCGCACTGTACATTTATATACATGTACATGTAGTCTATAAACTAGACGGTTTATAGACTACATGAAATACGGTTTCCACACTGCGATACGTTAAAAAAGTAGATTGTGGAAAAGTTACGACAGGTTGAATATGTGGTTGTTGGAGAATATGTTGATGGTTCTAAGTTTGAGAACGATTTTTACCCATTGTAATTCACAGATACGTGAGAACCATTTTTCATATGAAAAATATTGAATCCGTGATAATTCGAGAACAGGTTGAATCCGTGATAATTCGAGAACAGGCTAGGTTAAATCCGTGATAATTCGAGAACAGGTTAAATCCGTGATCATTCGAGAACAGGTTAAATCCGTGATAATTCGAGAACAGGTTAAATCCGTGATAATTCGAGAACAGGTTGAATCCGTAATAATTCGAGAAAAGGTTAAATCCGTGATAATTCGAGAACAGGTTAAATCCGTGATCATTCGAGAACAGGTTAAATCAGTGATAATTCGAGAACAGGTTAAATCCATGATAATTCGACAACAGGTTAAATTCGTGATCATTCGACAACAGGTTAAATACGTGATCATTCGAGAACAGGTTAAATCCATGATAATTCGGGTGCAGTTAAATATGAATGATTGAGAACAAATTAATTGTTAAAATATATTTTAGTGATATGTTGAACCCACGAGAGTTTTTTAGGAGATGTTGAATCCGTGCTAGTTTTAGATCATATTAAAATAATGAATTATTGCTATAGAACATGTTGAATCCCTGATAACTTCGGAGCAAGGCTGAGTTTGAGCACTGTGGTGTATCGGTACCCAGATGTATAAGGCGATAAGAGTAATATAACAAGATGGCTGGTCGACTCGTCTTATCGTTGCGCTATGTCTGGGTTGTCTAATTTCTCGTTTTACCGCTAAAAAGGTGTGACTTTCAAGTAGCATCATAAAACTTATCTTAAGTAGTTTTGTGTCTGCTTCAATTTCATAAAAAAATAACATCAAATTGATAAGAATGCGTCGTTCGACCTATTCCTTTACGTCTAAAGAACACTTATCATAGACTCTGTTACTTAGTGTGCCACATAACCCGTTAACACGCCGTACAAGCTACGGCTTCTGACAAAAGAGAGGAACAAATACTTGACCCCCGGCCCCCCTCCTCTCCCTCCTCTAAAATCACAAAGTACATTGTCCGAAGAAGTGATAATCAGAAGGTACATTGTGCGAAATAGCGATGGCTAGAAGGTACATTGCCAGAAATCGCAATAGTCAGAAGGTACATTGTCCGAAATAGCGATAGTCAGAAGGTACATTGTCCGAAGTAGTGATAGTCAGAAGGTGCATTGTCCGAAATAGCGATAGTCAGAAGGTACATTGTCCGAAGAAGCGATAGCCAGAAGGAACATTGTCCGAATTAGTGATAGCCAGAAGGTACATTGCGCGAAATAGCGATAGTCAGAAGGTACATTGTCCGAAGTAGCGATAGCCAGAAGGTGCATTGTCCGAAATAGCGATAGCCAGAAGGTACATTGTCCGAAATAGCGATAGCCAGAAGGTACATTGTCCGAGGTAGTGATAGCCAGAAGGTACATTGCGCGAAATAGCGATAGCAAGAAGGTACATTGTCCGAAATAGCGATAGCCAGAAGGTACATTGTCCGAACTAGCGATAGCCAGAAGGTACATAGCGCGAAATAGCGATAGCAAGAAGGTACATTGTCCGAAGTAGTGATAGTAAGAAGGTACATTGTCCGAAATAGCGATAGACAGAAGGTACATAGCGCGAAATAGCGATAGCAAGAAGGTACATTGTCCGAAGTAGCGATAGCCAGAAGGTACATTGTTCGAAATAGCGATAGCCAGAAGGTACATTGTCCGAAATAACGATAGTCAGAAGGAACATTGTCCGAAATAGCGATAGCCAGAAGGTCCATTGTCCGAAATAGCGATAGTCAGAAGGTACGTTGTCCGAAATAGCGATAGCCAGAAGGTACACTGTCCGACGTAGTGATAGCCAGAAGGTACATTGCGCGAAATAGCGATAGCAAGAAGGTACATTGTCCGAAGTAGTGATAGCTAGAAGGTACATTGTCCGAAATAACGATAGTCAGAAGGTACATTGTCCGAAATAGCGATATTCAGAAGGTACGTTGTCCGAAATAGCGATAGCCAGAAGGTACATTGCGCGAAATAGCGATAGTCAGAAGGTACATTGTCCGAAATAGCGATAGTCAGAAGGTACATTTGGCGAAATAGCGATAGCCAGAAGGTACATTGTCCGAAGTAGTGATAGCCAGAAGGTACATTGTCCGAAATAACGATAGTCAGAAGGTACATTGTCCGAAATAGTGATAGCCAGAAGGTACATTGTCCGAAGTAGCGATAGCCAGAAGGTACATAGTCCGAAATAACGATAGTCTGTCTTTAGGAGTATGAAGTTAAACTTGTCTGTTCACTATAATTGATATTCCGAATGTCGCTATTCACGTTTTCGGTTGAATGGTCTTGTGTGTAACTACCTGCTGCCATTACCAGGAATTGATCCGTGTCTTTGTTAGGCCGATTAAGACTATCATCGCAAAGAATAGCAGAGAAATCACGGGTCATATCATTAGATTGTGCTCTATATAACAACATCGCAAAGGGTATCGGAGACATCAACGCGGCACACTATCTGTTCTCGTGCTCGTTTTGAAGGACTTTCGGGGCAAGAGTTGCGAAGAGATCAACCCAACAGCACTAACATTTCAAATGGCAGCGGAGAAATCGGTCTTATTACTATTGTATAGATAACCGAGTACTGTAAATTCCTTCATTACAGTGTGATATTGCTTTTCGCATTAGCTTGTTAGGCGAGACGACCAAGAATATTTATTCAAACACAAGTATACAAAGAACAGATATTGATGCTTGTTTTCCCGGATTTAAAGCTCTGGAGCATGCCCTTGGAAGAACAATCTCGAAAATGAGTATTCGATAAAGAAAGCATTCAGCCGACTAATAGAAACTGTCGATTATAATACATGTAAATCCAATACCTCAGAAAGTTCATTTAAAAATTGAAAAATAAAGTCATATGGTAAATATATATCATGATTTCAACCTACTATCGAAATTGTGTCAAACTTAGCTTTTAAAGATAATTAAATAAAAAAACACTTTCAAATTTGATCCCGACTTGCACCAACTCGACACAGATATTATCAATATGTCTATTTTTAAAAAGGTGACAGGAACCTGGGCCAAATACAGTACTTGGCAATAGTGTTTTTCCTCTTCAGGTGTAAAGGCCTAGCTATACTCATACGTACGTAATGCATACGAGACTAAATATCTTCTCCACCTGTAACATAGAGCTGACGTATACTGCATATATTTACGTGGCGGACCTGCTGTTCACTGGGAAGGTTATTGAACACATAACGGAAACAGTACAATGCAAGGGGATACTGTACATAAGGGAAATACTGTACTTAGGGAGGGATAAATGTAGATAAGCAGACATAGTGTACATAGAGAGAGGGATACTGCCCAAAGGGAGGGGATAGTGTACATAGAAAGAATTACTTTACATAACTAGAGGGATACTGAACATAGGGAGGGATACTGTACAT